AATTTCTCTGCCATTCAAGACCTTAAGAAGCTGGAGGAAGCTGCTTAAAGGCATTTCTCAGAACAACTCATGATTTTAGCAGCCCAGGGTTCTCCCAGCAGCAGCCAGTTGCCCTTCCTAGCCACCCTTCTGGGGGTCCCCTCCTAGAAGGGCCCAGGAGTGAGCCATGAAGCCTGAACGCAGGCGGATGTGCCTGGGAGAGCCCTAGCAGCTGCAGGGAGGGTCTCGGAAGAGTTACTCCTGAACACAAACACAGCATTTGGGCAGTAAAGCAGCGGTGGGCAGGGGTTTGTTCACACATGAAATGAGTAACGGCTGCTGTGTGTGGGAAGGGGCATCTGTGGTCCTACACGGACGAAAACATTGGGGTGGAGGACGATATGGGCGACACCCGTCCTAGGAATGGGCCATGTGCTGGGGATCTGTGGGCTGTTACTCATGGTGGCCTGATTCTACAGGGTGGGATAAAGTCAGGGCATGGACCATCTTCAAACATCGACACTCAGTAGCCTGTTGGGGCTACATTTCATAAAATATCAAAATTCTCTCAGACTTTTCTCAGGACACCTCTTCCTCCTCACAATCAGCTTCTGAAGCATTAACCCTGGGGCCAGGAAGGGATTCAGAACTCTGCTGATTGTTAGGTCATTATATATTTTTTTAAATATCACCCTGATTGTAATTATTCCCAAGTTGTCTAATGGAATGCTCCTGGGTGTGAGCTTGCCTGCTCTTATCTTACTGACCAGCAGGTGGCAGCATAGGAGCACTCAAACTTCAGCGTTCCAGGGAAACACAGGTACAAAACCTGGGACCCCTCTTCCTGACTTTGCAGTGGTAGTGAGCCCGGTTAGCTGCTAGGCACTGCCTCCCCCTGCAAAACACATACACCACATCCCAGTGGGCATGGGCAGGGAAGACCAAGGGAAGAGGATGAATCCACCTCTGGATTAAAGAGCAAATGTTGGCTCTTTATACACATAACTCACCTCATTTCAGCCTTCCCACAAACCCCCAGGTACGTCTCAGCAGCCCATTACAGACCAGGATATTGTCCATTGTCAAGTGAATAGCAACACAGGGCATTGAATCCAGGTCTCAGTGTCTCAGAGTCCAGCTGGGTCTCCTGAGCGAGCTGAGGAGATGCTTGATGCTGAATCACAAACTTTCCTTATCAAACAACACACACAACTACTCTGTGAGAATGGAGGGCTATACCGACTAAGGAGCAGAGGCAGAGGAGTGGGGAGACGCAGAGTTTTCCTGGGGAGACATGTTTTGCAGACCAGGGTGCGTGGAGGAGGTTGAAGCCGGGAGCTGACCTAGCCGCTGGGCTGGGAGGCTGAAGAGTAGAGTTGTTCTAGTTCTGCTGTCTCAGTGCTGTGTGACGGCGGGCAGGTTCTGACCCTCTCTGGTTTTCCTCTCCTCTTTGTGGATTAGAGCAACTCACAGGTCCTTGCTGTTTCTCAGTGTCTAGGGAATCCAGACTACCAAATTCTTCATTAACCAAATCACCCTCCAAAAAACAACAAAAAACAAGCCTGCGACTATTCTGCTCATGGGGTTCTTGCTGAGATTAAACAAGGCCACAGAGAATTACTGGGCAGCCTGAGCAAAGCACAGCCCCAGGGCTGGGGCTGGGCCACGTGGAGCTTGGGGAGTCTGTTCCTGTCCAGCCTCATCTTAGGTTTCACCTGTCACAGGTCGGGCTCTTCAGGAAGCAGGCACTGAGATGGAGCTCAGAGTGCAAACGGAGAGGGGGAAGCCGGTGAGCGCAGGGGAGCCCTCCGACTGGGGGGCAGGCCTGCCACCGTCTCTGGCAGCCCAGGGGGCTGGGAGCAAAGACTGGATGTGACAGGAGGCGCCGAGGGAGCTGCCTGGTCCTGGTACTGCAATCTGGCTTCAGCATTAGCTGGCCGTCCGTGTCCCCACCTCCCCGAGAGCGACTTGGGCTGGAAAGCTGAGGCAGCCATCCTCCCCGCGGGGGCTCTGAACGCTGTCTCAGTGTCTGCCCCACCCGGACGGCTGTCCTGCCTCTGCATAGGAAGTCCAGGTGTCAGCACCCCCTCCCACAGACACAGGACAGACCTGGGCGGGAAGGGCGGGGTCTGAAGAGAACAGCAGAAAATGTTGGAGCCCTGGTGTACGTGCGTGTGCACAGGTATGTGGGTGTGTTCAGTATATGTATGCTGGGGTGTGAGTGTGTGCAGGGTGTGAAAGTGCATGTGTGTATGTGCATGTATGATGCACTGTGGTTGTGGACACGTTTACCTGTGTACATGGGTGTACATACACATGTGCAGTACCCTGTGATCCTCTGGCATTCAGGGGGAGCTGCCAGTTCTCGGCACCTCTGACTGGGCACCCCCTGGGTTTGGCTAGTCCCTGGGGAGGGGACTGGCAAGGTGAAGCTGAGCCTGAAGCTAAGAGGGCATGGCTCAGGCCGGGGCCGGGGACCCGGGGCCGTCACAGCGCAGCAGCAGCAAGGAAGGACTCGGAATCTGGAGCCCAGGCTCAGCTCCTTGCCCAGTGGTTTCACACTGGCCACACCCCCACGATCCTTCTCCCCATTTTAGAGATAAAATGTTCTCTGAGTGTTTGCGCTGTTGGGTAGAGCAGTGGGGCAGAGTGGTACTTGCCCTCTCCTCCATCTGTGCTGTTCAGAAGTGGGCAGGGCAGACCCTCCCCTGGAGAACCCCCTCTTGGTGGCAGGCACCTCCCCGTGCAGGGAGCTGGAGCCCAGCATCCTCAGAGCCACCCGGCTGCCGGCTTCAGGGAGAGAGGAGTTCCTTTGTCCCCCCAGTCTGGGGGTCAGGGAGCAGGAGAGGCTTGGCTCTGTCCAGCCCTCCCCCGTGGGCCTGGCAGAGGGGTGGAGTCCAGTGACGCAAATTAGCAGTGGGGAGGCTGCCTGGGCTGGGGAAGAGCCAGGGCCTGCGGAGGCCCCTCTGTCCCGGCCAGATGGCCTCTGGCTCCAGAAGGAGGGCTGCCAACCCCTTCGGTCAGGGGCCTGGCCCCGGTTCCTCACACTGCCCTTGTCTAGCCCAAGCCTGCAGGTGCTGTTTGCGGAGGGGACCAGCCAGTGGGGCTTTTGTTAAGATGCCTGTTACCACGGGCCACCTAACTCCCCACCCCCAGTGCCCAACCAGTTCCCTTAGAGTCACATCTCCACACTGACCAAGGCCCTGCAGGAACCCAGGGGGCAGCCTGGGCACCTCACCTCACTGTGTCCCTCCTTCCTCTAGGTTCAAGATAGATTAATTCCTCATTCATTCATTCATTCATTCATTCATTCATTCGTTTCTCCAGCAAACAAAACCAAGCATCTATTCCACACCAGGACTTGTTCTAGGCCCTGGAACTACTCATCTGAACAAGACAGGGCGGTCTCTGCCCTCATGAAGCTGACAGTCGGCTGAAGGAGACAAGAAACTAACGAACAGAGTGTACAGTCACATGCTTGGGACTGAGGGCTAGAAACGGTCATCAGGGAAGGCCTCCTGTGGAGGGGGCTTTCTAGGGGTGGGAGGAGGGCCTAGCGCCAGGGAAAGGAGCCAGCTTGTGTGAGGGCTCTGGGGGGGACGACAGCTGGGTGGGGTCTGCTGCCCTCGCCCTCGTGATAGTGGGGGCGGGAATGCCAGGCGGGAGGGGCGCGGGGCCTGTAGGAGTCGGATTTGATTCGAAAGGCTTTCCTGAAGGGAAACAGTACGCAGTTAACATGCACAGAGCTCGTCCCACGTGCAGGCACGGTGTCAATCACCTTACACAGACAGACACATTCAAACCGCACCGAAAGCCTGTGGTGGGGCCTTGTCACCCCACGTCACAGATGCGTTGACTAAGGCACTGAGAGCTTACGTCATTTGCTCAGTGACGCAGTGCAGGTCAGTAGCAGAGCAGGAATTTCCCGTGGGCAGCTGACTCTCGACCCTAACTACTGTACCACACGCTGCCCCCAGGCTGGGTTCCCTCACCTCCAGCATGGCCTCCTGCAGGAGGCCTTCCCCCAGCCCAGAGTTTGTTCGCTCTGCTGAAGCAACATGTAAACACGCCAGGTGGCCTGAAAAACTGGAATCCTCAAGAGGTCGTCTTGTCCGTGCCCCTGTCTTCAGGTGGACATGGCACTGTAAGCCCCATTGTGAAGATGAGACTCCTGAGACCAGAGGGTTAAGAGACTCGTCTTTTATCCACAGTCAAGGAAGGAAGCATGGGGAATAGATCCATGGCCTCCTAAATTCTCCCGCTCCAGCTCCAACCCTTCTATCCTCGACCTGAAGCCAATTCTCAGGTTGTTTCTTGTGTCTTCCCCTTCCCGCCCATCCCCCACAGCGGCCTCCCTTGTGCCCGGCACAGGGAGATGCACGCGGCAGGTGCACCGTCTGTGCAGAAGCACCTGGGTGTGGCCCTGCTGTCCTGGGTGCGCTGGGCAGGGATGTTTGGCAGAAAGGATGGATGTGAACATGCAGATGCCTGGAGGATGCTGAGGAATGTTCCAGTGAGCCAGGGAGATGGGTTGGGGAATTTGTCTGGAATGGGAAGGGCATCCCAGACAGGGGACAGTATGTGCAAAAAGAGAGGGAGAGGACATGGTGTGATCAAGGAACAGTAATGGTTCAGTTGGACCTGAGCATGAAGCTGGGCAATGAAGCTGGGTGGGGCTGCAGGGACAGGAGGGGCCTGTCCACCAGGCTAAGGGGCTGGCGCTCTGGCTTGGTGGGTGTTGGCGAGGCAGGGAGAGCGGAGGCAAGGCCTGGGAGAAAATCTTGACCTTGCTGAGTAACTTTATGTAAGTTGTGTGCCCTCTGAGCCTGTCTTCCCCGTCTGCACAATTCTGGGCCTTGCATGGACTTCCCATGGCTGCTGCTTTCTTATCATCCTAACAAGCAAAGAGGCTCTGCTGGGTCGGTCTGGAATTTCTTTAATGCCGGTTTCTTTTTGCCACATATGCCTTTGCTTCGCGCTATTCCTTTGACTCTCTGGAGGCACATGTCCCGGGGCCTGGTTCACAAGGGAGCCTGGGTTGACATGCTCTTCTTCACCCTCAAGCTCTTCCTTTTGTACGGCCTCCTCCAGGGCAGGTCAGCGCCCTGGGCCTGGGCCTGGGCCTGGCGCAGCTCTGAGGGTGATGGCGTCTGTGGTGTCAGCTCCTCTGAGGCCCTGGGGGAGGCACGGGGCAGCTCCTCGGGGTCCAGGTTGGCATCACTCCAGCCCTCGGAGCTATCGCTGTAGCCAACCAGACCCGTGGCTTCATCCTCAGGTACGGTGACAATCCTGGCTGTGGCCTCCCCGAGGCCGCTGTCTAAGTCCCCTGACAAGTGGTTGGTGACCCCCTCAGACTTGCTGGCTATGGGGACGTCTACTGTGTCCTCCTGCTTCTGCTTGGAGCCAGCGGAATGGGTGTCACAGAGCCCTGCCACGGGCTGGGTAGGGGTCTTGGCTCTGTCCTGGCCAGTCCAGAAGAGGGTGAGCTCTTGGCGGCAGGCGGCCACGGCCAGGCTAGTGAGCAGGGTGCTGGACACCAGGTAGAGCAGGGCGGGCTGACCCACCTGCGTGAGCACCATGGCGGCGAAAGTGAGCAGCAGACCCGCCGCGTAGGCCGCGGTGCAGGCCGTGAAGTAGACCTGGCCCGAGCGCGTCTGCACATCGAAGCGATGGCAGTAGGCCACCAAGAAGCCTGGGACCACGATGTCACCGAAGCCGAGGATGGTGAAGGGCTGGTCACACAGGGTCAAGGCCGAGAAGCTCAGCTGGGGCACTTTGAGCACCATGGGCAGCCTCTCGTGGCTCAAGGAATCTGCCGGGCCCGAGGCCACCTCCACCATGATGCTCTCACCCGTCCTGGTGAAGAGGGGCGTGACGAAGACAAAGAAGACGTCAAAGGCCAGCAGGGCCAGCAGGAAGCAGGTGCAGTGCTTGAGCCTGGGCAGCCGCACGCGCCGCAGGACGAACAGGCAGTAGGCGATGCCCAGCGCGTCCTGCAGGAGCCACGCCCAGCGGTCCTCGTTGCGGTAGGCGACCCAGAGGACGGTCACCAGCGCGCACAGGCCGGCCAGCAGCAGCAGGGGCAGCTGCAGACGGGCCCGGCGGCCCGGCAGGGACCACTGGTATTGCTGCAGGGGCAGGTGCCGCACCAGGGGGGCCGTGCAGCTGTAGAGGCCGGTGCCCGCGCCCAGGCCGAAGATGGCGATCATGACGTAGACGAAGCAGTCGTAGAAGAAGTAGAGGAGCAGCATGATGCAGCAGGACATGGTGATCACTGCGCCCGTCGTGGCCAGTGTGAAGTCCACGGGGGTGTCCTCGTCGTCTTCCTCCTGGCTCCCCTGGGCGGCCGCTGCTTCCTGCGGATCGAGATCCCCGGGTCCCCCCCCTCCTCGGGCCCGGCGCCGCCGCAGCCGATCGGCCTCGGTTAGGCCGGCCCAGTAGCCGCCCATGGCCACGGTGCCGATGGCCAGGATGAAGATGACCACCATGTTGTAGTCGAGGATGGGCTCTGGGGGCGCGTACAAGGCCACGCGGGCCGTGGAGTCGCCGTGGGTGTGGCTGAGGATGTCGAGCATGTCGGTGTATTGGAGCATGGCCACAGGGATGGTGAGGTCGGGCAGGGGCTGGGGGGGGTCCTGGGCTGCCAGGGTGGTGTCTGAGCACTGTTGGCCGCTGACCCGGCTCACGATGAGCAGCCCGTGGGCACCTCGGCCCTGAGCCAGCCAGCCCTTAGCGTAGAAGCTGCAGTTGCCCCTCATGACCATGGCGGTGGTCTGGCGGAGGGGCCGCTGGCTGGGGGAGCCGGGCGGGGCCTGGTGGGAGGAGTCCTCGCCAGGGCACCAGGGTGCCGAGGTGCCATCGTACAGGCGCAGCAGTGGGGCGTGGCGCAGGTCCCGGGGCAGGGTGACATAGTCTGAGTTGAACAGCACACAGTAGTCCTTGCTCCAGTTCTGTGACACCACGTGGACCACGCCGTACTCCCCCTGGGCCACTGCACTGGCGAGAAGGAGGAGGAGGAGGAGAAAACCCAGGCACGCCATCCTCCTCGGCCACCCAACCTGGCAGGTGCCCCCGGCCCAGTGCCCTCTCCCAGGGGTGGGTGTGGCCCTCTGTCACAGAGCAGCATGGCTCCCATCCCAGAAACCAGGGCCACACCTACCGAGTCATAAAGCTGTGCCACCAGGCTCCAGGACACTGCCTCTGTGTAGAGGGCCATTTGGGTCCCTGCTTTCTGCCCAGCCGCAGGTGGGCTGAGCCAGGTAATTTGAAATCAGATGTAGGACGGTGGGGTGAGGATCTGACAGGATCTGACCAACATTGGCCCCTTACCCGATGGCTGACCCAGGCAGAGGCCTCTCTCTGCACCTGTGCCTTTAGCTGTAAGGAGACGAGGACCTTGGATCAGAGACTTTCCGAGGTCCCGGGAGCCCTGACCCCATGATACTGTGCACTTCTTTTGAGCTCATACTAAGTGCCACATACTTGATCTGTCCTCATGGTGTCCCTGCAAGGAGATGTGACTAGAGGCTGTGAGCCGTCCTTCAAATCCGTGCCCCTTTCTACTGGTGAGTGACCAGAACTTCCCTGCCCGCCCCCCTTGGAGTTAGGGATGGCCACGTGGCCACTTCTGGCCAATGGAATTGAGCAGAAGTAATGTGAGCCCTTCAGAAGCCTGCGCAGAGACCGTGGGCTCCTTGGCCATCGCTTTCCCTCTCTCGTTAGTCAGTCCTGGACAAGTATGGGTCACGGGCTGTGGACAGGAGGACATGTCCTAGGGATGGGAAGAAGAAAGCGGGAGGACTGGGCCCTGGATGTCTGCATGGAGCAGTGGCATTGGATGCTCACCGTGGACGGTGATACTTGGCCCTCGAGCCATTGGCTTACTGTGGGTCTCTGTTACACTAACTTAACCTCACTGGACACCCCACATCACAGGTGGGTAAGCCCGAGGCTCGGAGAAGCCCTGCCCTGGGCCCCAGCCCCTGTCCCCAGATCCAGCTCCCACACTGGACACCCCTCAGGCCTCGCTCTGTCTAGAGAACTGCCCGGGGCCTGCCTGGCCCCCTGACTGCCTGAGGGCTCCTGGCCCTGCCGCCCTGCCCCCTGCCGCTCTGCTCCCTGAATGTCTGAGGGCTCCTGGCCCTGCCGCCCTGCGCCCTGAATGTCTGAGGGCTCCTGGCCCTGCCGCCCTGCCGCCCTGAATGTCTGAGGGCTCCTGGCACTGCCGCCCTGCCGCCCTGAATGCCTGAGGGCTCCTGGCCCTGCCGCTTGTCCTTGTCCTTCGGGCCTTAACTCCAGTGATATCTCTACCACTGTGGCCAGGAGAAAATAGCCCTTCTTAGCATGTCATGATCACAACTCAGGGCCTACTTCCTTCAATGCGCTTATCACAGTCCCAGGTGTTTGCTTGTTTATGTGTTTCCTTGTGTGTTTTCTGTCTCCTGCAGGTGGATCCTCAAGGAACCATAGCCCTCCGCGCCCACGGCTCTCGGACTCTGGCATGCCGGTGACACTCAGGAAGTGTGTGGGATGTGTGAGTGAGTGACCCTGTTTTACAGTAGAAGGGACAGCGGCACAGGCCGGTGAAGACACTTTTCCAAGGTGCCACGCCAATGGTAGAGACGAGGTTCACACCCCGGCTGTCGGGCAGGGGCCTCTGGCTCGCCCGCTGCGCTCTGGGCCGTGTGCTCAGGGCTGTGTGGCCCGCCCACTGGTTCCAGGAGAGGCACTGGGTGGCAGATGGGTTATTAAAAAAGCAGATTCCAGAGGGGTATCATTAAAACGTTACCTGCATACTTCATACATCGTGTTGGTTCCTTGGGGTTGCCTTAACAAACGATCGAAACTGGGTGGCTCAGAACAGTTGTTTATTCTCTCTCAGTCTGGAGGCTGGAAGTCTGCTATGGACCAAGTGTCTTTGTGCCCCCTCCCCCCAGTTCATATGTTTAACTTCTAATCCCCGCTGTGAGACCTTTGGGAGGTAACTCTGTCATGAATGGGATTGGTGTCCTTATAGGAAGAGACAAGACAGGGATGATCGCGCGCCCCATCCTGAGAGGACACAGGTGGCCCTCTGCAAAGCAGGGTGCGAGCTCTCAGCAGGAACTGAGTCCGACGGCACCCCGACCTTGGGGTTCCAGAACCGTGAGAAAGAAACGCGGTGTTTAAGCCACTGGTCTGCAGCGGTGGGGCTAGCAGCCTGAGCACGCTAGGAGAAGTCCAAACTCAGGTGTGAGCAGGGCCTCGCTCCCGGGGACCCGGGGCAGAATCCTTCCCGGGTCCTCCTGATGTGGGTGGTGGCCGGCAGTCCTTTGGCTTGTAGCTGCATCGCCCTGATCTCTGCCTCTGTTTCAGCATCCTTCCTGTGTGTCTGCGTCTCCTGGCTTCTTAGAAGGACATTAGTCATATTGGATTAGGCCCATCCAATGACCTCATCTTAACTTGATTACATCTGCAAAGACCCTATTTCTAAATAAGGTCATATTTACAGGCCCTGGGGTTAGGACTCCAACATGTCAAGTTTTGGGAACACAATTCAACCCATAAAACACATTTTATTTTAGCTTCCAGGAAGTCAGCGTACAGTCACTGACCTTCCTCAGGGCCTCTCCTTGTGAAACCCACACCGGTGGACATGTCCGCCGTTCCGCCGTGGGCTCTGAGGTGGAGGGCGAGCGCAGAGGACCTTGCAAAGTGGTCGACAGTCTCCTCCCTCCCAAGTATTTACATGTGTCTCACCCACACCTAATTCGACAGCTGTTTATTGTCAGACTCGGATTGTGTCTTTCAAAACATCCAGCGGAGTTTTCATAAGGAGCAACACTGCTCATTGTTTGTGCACTTCTGATTCCTCCGTTAATATAACATTTAATTAGATTACAAAGCAATAATTACAATGACAAGTTAATCGTCAGAAATGTGTTAGGGAACAAAGACAACAGCCTGGTGAGTGTACCCCGGCTGGTGCTGGAGAAGGTGCAGGGGTGCCAGCTGCCCTTTGCTGGGCTCCCGTTGCAGAGGGAGGAGGCGCGGGGTCGGCGGCTGACACGGTTCTTACCCGACGTGGTGGAGCCAGACTGGGTGCCCCTCTGCATCCGAGCACCCGGATGCTGGCACAGCAGGCCAGGCCAGCCCCTTACTGAGCTCTGTGACAATAAAACTCCTTCTGGCCCCCAGCTACGGATGCCCAGTCTATTCCCTCACCGGGGGCCCCACTGTCCACTTGGGGAGTCTCCGATCTCTTAAAAACCAAGGAGCAACATGCCCGCCAGGATGCTGTTATCAAAAACACGATCACAACAAGTTTTGACAAAAAACTGGAGAAACGAATGCTCCCACGTTGCTGTTGGGAGTGTGAAAGGGTGCGGCCACAGCAGAGGACAGTTGGGTGGCTCCTCAAGAAGCTGAACATGGAGTCGCCACCTGACCCAGCCGTTGCCCCTCCTGGACGTGTGCCCGAGAGGAAACGGACGCGAATGTGCCCAGCAGCACTTTGCAGTCACGGAACCGGGGGAAGGGCCCAGATGCCCGTCCCTGCCGGGAGGGAGAGTAAGCAGCAGTCTGTCCACTTAGTGCAGCTTCCTCCAGGCGTCCAAGGACGAGCTCTGAGAGGCTCCTGCAGGGTGGGCGAACCTCGCCAGCATCGTCCAGGTGAAGGAGCCAGTCACAGAAGGACAAGTATTGCATGATTCCACTTTTATGAAATATCGAAAGTAGGCAAAACTGTAGGGACAGAAAGCCGGTTTGTGGTGGCCAGAGGATGGGGGAGGGATGGGGAGCGAGTGCGTAAGGATTGAGGTTTCCACTAGGGAGACAACAGGTTCTGGAGGGAGATAGTGGTGACGACTGCCCACCGTGTTGAGTGTACTGACGCCCTGAACTGTGCGCTTGAACATGGTAGAGACGGCAGATTGTGTTCTGTGTGTGTTACCACAACTGGAAAGAGAACAAAGCAGGACCAACTGCAGACCCCTGGTCCCGTGGTCTCTGGAGTTCTCTCTAAATGGTGATCTTGCTGGTGTTTCCAACACACCGAGAACTTCGACAAATATGCGTGGCCCAGGCCTCTCTGGCCCCTGAGCCTGCCCAGCAGGTGCTGCAGGGCTCGGTGGGATGCAGAGGACAGGAACGGGAGCGATGCTTGGAGATGGAGCAGGGGCTGTGGACGCGGGAGGCCGGGCTGGGTTCAGACAGGCTCATGCTTTGCAGACACCAACCCCTACATCTGTCTGGCTTTGTCTCTATGCTGTTTGTCCACAAACTGGGAGAACTGAAGAATTCCCTAAGGAGGGCATTGGAGGGGGCAGTAGGGCAGGGAGGGGTACCCTACAAAGAATTCCTGCTGCATAGGAGTTAAACACAGAGGAGGTTAAGTGAGGCCAGCCACGCCACAGCTGGGTGCCCTTGGGCAGCTCACTTAACCTCTCTGGGCTTCACTTTCCCCATCTGTTAAACGGGGATAACAGCGCCTGCCTCACAGGGTGGGGGGAAGAGCGGATGAAGTCAGCATGTGAGGGGCTCAGCGGTGCTCGGTGCCCCGTAAGCACTCAATGATAGTGTTGTTGTCGGTGAAATGCAGGAAGCACCCCTCTGTTTGGACCACGGATGGGCTGTTGAGTGTGCAGTCAGGCTGAATGAGATGATCCAGAGGCCAGTGGCACCCTGCATGGGCTGGGCAGAGCCTGGGTGGGTGCAGAAGGACCCCCAGAGGCCTCTGGTGGCCTGGGCTGCGCTGTTTGCTGTTAAGCATTATTTTAAGCAGTGGAGGGGTGGAGGGTTTGGGAAGAAGGGGAAAGGGGGGCTGGGAGCCAGGGTGGACAACAGCTGCCACCCAGCTGGACTCAGCAGCTGGACACATTTGGGCTGGTCCCATCTTCGCCTGGGACTTATCCTCAATCAATCTGAAATGCTGAGGCCTCCTTGCTGCCCCCGCCCAGACCTGCTCTATCAGTCCTGGTCTCCCCAAATTTAAACATAGTGACTTTAGTCAATTGAGGAGAAAGATCCCTGGACTTGGAGCCGGAGGACTGTTGATCTCAGGGGACTCGCCAGGCCTCAGTTTCCTCGGCTGTGAAATGGGCTGGCTCCCACCTCCATCAGCGAGTTGAGGATTAGATAATAAATGTTATAAAGGATTCTGTGGGTTGCAAAGAGATCTACACATGCCTACAATGAAGGAATTATTGTCCAGGTTTCAAAACCTCCCTCCCTTTCTAATAAGTGTATTTCCCAGATCTGACTCCCTCCCCAGTCTGGGTCCTAGGGGTCTGATTCAGCAGCAACAGGGGACTGAGGAATCTGGGGGGGGGGGGGAACCGAGGCCCTCAGGGCAGGATTCTATTGCAACACTCAGGGAAGTGGGGGGGGGAGCTTGAAATGGAAAATCAAAACACTACACGTGGTTTTTCCTCCACTGCTGATCATTGCCCATGAAGGAGGGTCCCCGGGAGAAATGGACTCAGGTAGGGCAGTTTGAGGGGACTGTGCTACAGTGACCCCCACCCTGCAGCTTCCCAGCCCCTCCCCAAAAGAGTAATTACTTGTGCTGCCTGTTGGTCCACAGATCCACACTCATCCCCAAGGGACCTCTCTTCTGCTCCACCCACAGGCCGACCCTCAGGGCAGAATGACCGTCATAAACCACATCTGGGGCCTGCCTTCACCCAGCCCTGGAGCCCAGAACACGTACCGGCTGCGGAAGGGTTAGACCTGGGCCCTGCCCCTGGCACAGAAGCTGCAGTTCTTTGAGCCCAGATGTCCCCAGCTGTGCTTGACGCAGCCCCTGGCCCTTACAGTCTCCGGGTGGGAGGGGTCCCGAGGCTTGTCTGGCCCAGCCCCTGCCCACCCAGGGACCCCTCTGCAGCTGACCTGATGACGGCCAGCCTTGGAGGTGGCCTCCAATAACCTTCCAGGCCGGCAGCTGGTTGCTGGCGTTGCGAGTGCTGCTCCTCTGTCCCTCACACAGGGCCCGGCACACAGGCGCTCGGGGGAGCCCATCAGTACAGCCACCAGGGGGCACAAGCAGGAAAGGGGCCCTGCCCCACCTTACCTGTGCAACCCTCCAGGCTCCGGCGTCCTTGGGAGGCCCCTTCCCCCACATCCCACCCCCACATCCCACCCCCACATCCGAGGAAAGCCTCCTTCTCCCTCTCCTCCTCCACTGAGTGGAATGCAGATGGAGAAAGATGCCTCCGCTGAGGCCATTCGAGACCCATCCATCACTTCTAGTCCCTCCTGCCAGCCTGGACTCTGTGGGCCGTCTCCCCCAGCAGCCCTGGAAACTGTCAGCCTGTCTGTGTCCTGATAGCCCCACATCTTCTGTTCAGCTGGTCCCTCTCCCCATCTCTACTTAAGGGGACAGAGCTGGAGTGGGCAGAGCAGGGTGCCCCCCGTGGCCTTCAGGGACACCCCAGCTTCTCCCTGGGGCCAGACCCTCAGCCACAGCACCTCCTTCCCCTCCAAGGGACAGATCAGCCTGTCCCTTGTGTCCTGACGCTGCACACCCCTGGGTGCATGTGTGGTCAGAGGCCAGAGGCAAGGCCCAGGTTGCCCAGGCCCTGTGTGTGCTGGGGGGAGAGTTCGGTCCCCCACCCAGGACACAGCTCACACCGGCTTCCACCACATGCTGCTGGGCTGGGGGCTCTCTTGGCCTCTTTGTAGCCAAAGGGCCATGGAAATGCAGGGGTTAGTGACCCCTGGTGGCAGCCTTCACCCAGTGACTGGGGGAGCTGGTGGATAAATATCCCTCCGGGTGGGATGGGAGGCGTATGTCCCACTCCGGCTCCCCAAGTGTCCACAGCAGGGTTGAGCTCTGCTGTGGGCTGTGGGGTGATGGCCTGTGTGCACTCAGGGTCCTGCCACCTCCTTCCCTGGCCTCACCCTCCCTGCTGGATTCCACCTGAGCTCCGCCCCTGGGGCTGGGACACTCCTCTCTGGGCCCATTGCCGCACCTCCGCTCAAGCTGCGCCCCTGCCCACCGTGTCCTTTGCTGCACGGCTCACCCTTGGGCTCTCTGCCTCCAACTAACCCTTCCGAGCTGTCCTCCCGCCTGGGCTCAGCAGGACCCACCTGTCCTCAGTCCTCAACCCGCCTCGGGGCTCACGGAGCGCCCCGTCCTCAATGGGTGTGTGAGTGCTAGGGTTTCCCAGACACACAGCGGCCCTGGACACTCCCCCCGGCCTCCATTCCTCTGCAGGGCCCTTTCCACCCAGCTCCAGCCCAGTCCAGAACCACAGATGCTGGTTGAAAAGATAAATATTGTTATTTACATCGGCCACCCCCATGTCCCAGCCCTGCACCCCAAAGCCCTGCTCTGGCTGTCCAGGACCCCTGGACGTGTGTGGGTCCAGTGAGGGCTGGGCCGGTCAACGCCTGGCGTGTAAGTGATCAGCTGACCCCAGGCCACTTGTCCTGTTCCAGGGCACTGGGGCAGAGAGGGGTAGAGGGTCCTGCCCCTTCTCCTGTCTTTGCTGAGCTAACAGCGCTGCCCCGAGGCCATTGGGGCAACAGGCTTTCTGTGAGCAGTAGGGGGGTTGCCAGAGGCCAGGCCACAGTTAGCAGGTTGGAATCTCCCGTGTTCTCTGCTCCTCCAAAGGCAGACTGGCTGGGCTGGGGCACACCTGGCTTTTGTTCTCAGGCCACTTCTCCCCCCTTCTCACGAAGGGGGTGATACGGGGCAGGAGTTAGGGAGAAGGAGCCCACGTGGCCGGCAGGGCAGAGAAAGCCCAAGGGTGCAGCGCAGCGGGGCAGGGCATTTCTGGTGGCAGTGCCACAGGGCCAGGTGAAGCTCTGGTGGCTTGGGAGGATTCCGGGTAACAGCCTGATGTCTGACGATGCCACTGATTTCTAATGTCTCCAGGGCTCTGGCAGTGTGGCCTTGGTTCCCACTTGTTGGAAAGTATAGCTAAGGCCCGGAGCCATGATCACAGTGGCTGGGATGCTGTCGCACGAGTTTCCCATGATGCCCCTGGGGCAGCGAACGGCCCCCACAGTTGCAGAGGAAGCCCCAGGTCTCCAGTGTGCTGGCCACCTTGTGCTCTGGGAGGACACCTCCTGGAGGGACCCATGGACTGCTGTGGGCTTCCCAGCTCCCCATTCCCACTCCATTCGCCAGGGAGGACTGGGGTAAGGGGGGGCTGAGGCCCTGGGCCCAGCCCAGTCCTATAGGTTATTTTCCAATCGCCCCATGGCCCAGAGTGTGGCTGCTGTCACTGGCCAGAACTCCTGCTCAGCTGGGGTCAGGAAGGGGCCTCCCAGGTCTCAGTGCCAGCGCTTCCGGAGGTGCAGGGTGTGGGAAGGGGCTGGTCCCCTCCACAGGCACGGCAACCGGCTGAGCCTGGCAGCCACCTCTCCCTCCACAGATGCAGGGGCTGCTCCACGGCCTTCCAGCTCAGACCCCTGTGGACTGCTTGATGCTGTGAAAGCTGACACGGGTTGGGGAGGTGGGGATGGACATGGCGCGGGCCACCCGGGCACGGATCGAGTGCTTGTCCTGCCATCGGTGCCACCTCTTGCGGATGGCAGAGCGGACCTGTGGGCAGACAGCAGACCATAACGTTTGAGCCCAGTCACAGGATGGCCCTCCCTCCCTGAGGGCTGCCGCAAGCAGTTGTACCAGCAAGCAGCTATACAGGTGTGCGGTGCACAGGTGAGCAGTGCACAGGTGTGTGGTGGACAGGTGAGCAGTGTACAGGTGTGCGGTACACAGGTGAGCAGTGCACAGGTGTGGTGCACAGGTGAACGGTGCACAGGTATGTGGTGCACAGGTGAAGTGCACAGGTGAGCGGTGCACAGGTGTGTGGTGCACAGGTGAGCAGTGCACAGGTGTACGGTGCACAGGTGAGCAGTGCACAGGTGTGCGGTGCACAGGTGAGCAGTGTACAGGTGTGCGGTACACAGGTGAGCAGTGCACAGGTGTGCGGTACACAGGTGAGCGGTGCACAGGTATGTGGTGCACAGGTGAAGTGCACAGGTGAGCGGTGCACAGGTGAGCGGTGCACAGGTGTGTGGTACACAGGTGAGTGGTGCACAGGTGTATGGTGCACAGGTGAGGTGCACAGGGAAGTAGTAACAGGTGTGTAGTACACAGGTGTGAGGTGTACAGGGGGCCACATAGGAACACTGTTGTTACATTGTTTATTTGCATATTTGTTGGGACAGTTTTCTCAAGTGTCCGGAGGCAGGGGTGCCTTTTCAAAATGTACTCCAACAGTGTCTTTGCCACGAAGAACCCCTATTCTCAACCCACACACATCCCCTGCCCCAGGGCTCAGCTTCCTGGTTTTCAACAACCCATTTCACAGACTCATTGATGAGACTGAAGCCCCAGCTCTTCCCCCTCCTGGTGTCAACTGCCCGAGAGAGCACAGGAGCAGGCTCGCCACCGCAGGAGCAGTGTGGGCAGGTGGCACGAAACCTCTGGAGGCTCCCAGCGAACCCCTAGAGGAACCTGGGGGCAGGGGAGGGCCAGCGTGTGGAGGGCAGAGGGAGGCTGCAGACCATCTCTGGTCCCAACAGGCCTCCTGCCCCCCTGAGTCCCAGCCCGGGTCCTTACCTCGCTGTTGAGGAAACAGTAGAACACAGACACGAAGAAACCCTAGTGTGGAGGGAGAAGGCTGTCAAGGGACCGGGCCACGTGGCCCCACCCAGTTTCTGGGCAGCCCCCTTGCCTCCCCAGTCTCCTGCCCCTCCAGGCCCTGCCTGGGAGAATGCCCACCCCTGGAGGTGCCGCGGGCAGCCAAGGCTGAGTGAGGGGGGGGCTTCGGTACCTGGAAGGACTCGAGGAAGGAGTTGAAGTAGATGAAGACGACCCGGGAGACCTCATCCTCTCCAGGGTTCACGAAGAACAGCATGTACGTGATGCCCAGGAGGGGCAGCAGCACCAGAGTGGCCTTCACAGCTTTCCTGGGGTGGGGGGTGCCCAGAGTCACAGCCCACCCCAGCAGGGGCTGGGAGAGGGGGTGGCAGGTCCTGAATGCCTGAGAAGGGGGAGCTGGGGTTTCAGGAGGGACTGCCAGGCCTGGGGGAAGACTCTAGGTCAGAGACTGGGATCTCGGAGCCCCCGGGGGTGGAGGGGCGGAACCAGCTACCTGTACTGAATGGTCTCAGATGTGGTGGATGCTCGAAGTTTGGTCATGAGGATGCGGACGATGTTGAAAAGGAAGATAAAGTTGATCTGCAATCGAGCACACAGTAGGGTGGTGTGGGCACGTGTGTGCGCAAGATGTGGGGGGTGAGTGGGCAGGTCAGGGACTTAGCCATCCAGGGCTGATCTTGGCCCCCGCTGCTCCCCCCGCCTTCATTAGCCCTCGAATACTCTAGGCAGGGGGTCCTTTGGGTCCATGGTAGGCACTGATGGTGCCCCTCTCTCCTGCCCCGCACCCTGGTTCTTACCAGCAGGACCAGGATCATGGGGCCCTGGTAGATGTAGTCGGTGTAAACCCCAGGCCTTTTGCCAAACCAGCACCTAGAAGGCCACAGACAGGAGGGGAGAGCAGGGGGAGGGGTGGTGCTTAGCCAGGGCAGGACTGGGGCCAGAAAACACGCTCTGGGTGCCCCAATTCCAACCTGGCAAAAGGTCAAGCCACTCGACCCCACCACAGTGCCTCAGTTATCCCATCTGCAGAACGGACAGCGTCCTCTACTAGCTGGAAGCAGGCAGTATGGCGGGAGGTCATGGAAAAGACCACTGAGTGGAACAGGCACGGGCCCAGCACACCACTGCTCCCTCGTCCCCACGGCGGCTCTAGCCCATGCCCACTGGTGGTGCCTCGCCCTGCCCAGCACCACCTGAATCTGTTCAATTGCAGCGTGAAGTGAACAGCCTTGAGGCAGAGATTCCAGAGGTTCCACCTGTCACAGGAGACAGACCTGCTTTGCCTTTTCCTGGGCTCCCTCCAGCAAGCTGTAGGAAGGTCTGGGGAGTGGCCAGGGACTGGGCACAAGGAAGTCCCGCCTGTTTGCATGCAGACCCGAAGTGCCTAGATCTCATGATGCTCCCACAAACCAGAACTGAGATTTTTAGGTGGAAAACTTTGACTTTTTAAAGACTGACAACAAAGTCAAGTTTTCAAAAAACACTGTGCAGACCAAACGTGAGCTCTCTGGGGTCATCTCCAGTCGGTGGCCTTGAGTCTGAATCCCTTCTGCTGCAGTGTCAGCATCTCACCACAAGGTGGGGCTGCAGAGCCTCTCAGACCAACTTCTGTTCAGGCATCCTTTTCCTCCAAGATGCACACAGGGCAGCTTTGGAAAACCTGTCCTTTCTCTTCTTCCCTGTACTCACCCCTACACCTGCACACCCACCCAGGTTTACAGTGCTCCTGCTTAGGGACTCAGACCCACAGTGGTGTCTGTCAATTGCCCCCGATGGGGCCTCTACCCCACTGGCTGTGCAAACACAGTCAGGAAGGATCACCCTGAGTCAGGATCGCCCTGAGAAATATGAAAATAATTTTCTAGGCTCCTTGTCCATCCCAGTGAGGTTATGGTGATGGAAAGGGAGGAAGTGTCACTGATGGAGGCTGCCTGGAACCCCAGACGGGGGTTTCCGCAACCACGTTGGTGGAGAAGATCCTGGCATATCCCTTGGCTTTGTCTCCTTTTCTGCCTCTGTCTCAGGGGTTCTCCATCTCAGTTGCACAGTAGGATCACCTGGGCAGTTCCAAAACATGCCGGTGCCCAGGCCGCACTCTGGGTCAATTACATCCAAGCCTGGAGGTCAAGCCAAGGCACTGGTACTTTTTTTTTTTTTTTTTTTGGTACGTGCCCCTAGCGGGAACCAAACCCGGGACTCTCTAGTCCGCAGGCCGACGCTCCAACCGCTGAGCCAAACTGGCCAGGGCGGCACTGGTACTTTTTAAAGCTTCCTGAGTCCTGGTCAGTTTGGCTCAGCGGTTGGAGCGTCGGCCTGCGGACCAGAGAGTCCCGGGTTGGGTTCCTACTAGGGGCACATACCAAAAAAAAATAAATAAATAAAAAATAAAGCTTCCTGGGTGATTCTCACGTGAGCCAAGGCTGAGAAGCGCTGCAGCGGAGTCTCGCTGCAGGGGCAGCTGGGAACACCTGTATCCATTTAATACGGCATCTCAGGCCTTCAGAGCCGAAAGGAGTCTCTGAGATTGTCTGGATCAGTTTCTCTTAAGTCCATGGACCCTAAAGCACGTCTTGAAATCAATAGAAAACATGTGTACAGCATATACTATGTGCCAGGCACTATTCTAAATGCTTAATATATATTGACTCATGTCATCCTCACCACAACCCTGGGAGGGAGGCACCATTATTAGGACGCCCATTTTACAAACGAGGAAACAGAGGCACGCTGTAGTAAGCAGCCCAAGGTCATACAGTTACTTAGTGACGGAGCCACGACTCAGACCCCGGACAGTGTGGCGCTGCAGACAGCTGGTAACCCTTGTGTGGTTCTGCCTGTGAGAGCCCAAGACACAGAAAATTGCCTGGGTCACCTCTCCAGCCCCGGCTCAGGCAGAGCGCTGCCAGGGAGCCTCGGGCTGGGCCCAGCCCCAAGCACCCCCTCTTTACAGATGAAGAAACTGCGGCCCTGACAAGGAAGGTGACATGGCTGAAGGCCCTGGGGGCGATGAAAGGCAGGGGTGACTTACTTCTCATTGTCGTAGTACAGCTTGCCAATGGCCCAGGCCACGATGATGGGGAAAGGCACACCTGGGGAAGAGACCAGCTGTCATAGAGCCAGGCAGTGGGGCCTGGGGACAGGGCCTGGAGGACTCCAGTGCAGCCCAAGGCCCAGAGGGGGCTAGGAGGTCCTCAGGGTAGAGCTGGGACCCACTCACCCAACATGCCTCCTTCAAGAGGCTCCCACCGCCCCCACCCCCAAGGAGGGGCAGAGGGAGCTGTGACGCACTCGGCCGCCCTGCCCTGGCCCTGCAGCCAGCAGCCTGTGGCTGTGTCTGGTGAGAGAGCAGCCGGTGGGTGGGGGCCGGGGGGCGGGGCCGGCTCACCCCAGCCAATGCAGATGAACATCCACTTGCGCAGCCGGTCAGTGGAGTACGTGAGCACGATGGCCGTGTGCAGGTAGCAGCCCTCCCCAAACATCCAGAAGAAGTTGGTCACATGGAAGTAGTTGTAGGCGGCTGTCACCAACCTGCACCAGCCCTGCCGCCCCACCCCCACCAGAGATGACAATGAGCAGGGTGGGGGTGGGGGGCCGCAGCACCCCACCCCGGGCCTGGGGCCTCCCCTCCGCAGGATGGGGCACTCCCCAGGATCCATTCTTGTTCTGTGGGCCCCAAGGCCTGGCCCTGGACCCAGCCCCTCCAGGGTAGCACCACCAGACCCTCTGAGCCTGGGCCTGCCCCGCAGGACACACCACGTTGCTCTGGTGGACTTCGGGGCTCATGGTGAGCTGGACCACGAACCACGTGGCATTGCGCAGGATGAAGGCCGAGATGAGGTTCCAGTGGATGATGTTTCTGAGGCACCGGATGCTCCTGGGGGCGGCAGGGCAGGTGGAGTCGGGAGCAGAGGGAGGAGAGGGGGGCGGTAGGCTTCCAGCACCACTCCAGCCCAGATGTGTGGCTGGGGAGACAGCCTGGTGGGGCTGGCTGACCATGACCGCCAGGCCTGAGCTCTGGGGCAGAACCTGCCGCGGCCAATGCTCCAGGACCGGGGGCTGCCCCCTCCCCTCCCTGCGGTTCCAGGTTGAGGGCCGGAAAACACACAAGGCCTCCAGGGGGACAGCTCCCTCCAGCTTTCAGTCCTGATACTTTGGTCACCTCCCATCCCCCTCCCGCCCCATCCCCAGCAGGTCCTAGACAGAGGGACAGAAGGGACCCTGCCAGAGGTATCAAGAGGCCTGGGACTCTACAGCTGTCACCCCTCCCACCCCCTTCCCAGCAGCCCCCTGCCTCGGACTTCCCCACCCTGTTCAAGGCCCAGGGACAGTGCAGGGGACATCTCACCTGAGCCGCAAAAAAAGGACAAAGGCCACCAGGAGGGCCACCAGGGAGACACAGTGGCCCAGGTAGTTGATGATGACAGCAACATGGTAGTGCACCTTGTTCTTCTTCTGAGGTCAGAGAGAGAGGCGGAGGTGAGGCTCCCGCACAGCTCCAGCCCACGCCCACTGGCCAGAGGAGGACAGCCCCGTGGGTAGCCGGACAGAGTGGCACTACCACCAAGAGTTACCCCTGTCAGCCCCCAGTGTCACACACTGTCTGTGGGTCCCTGACTCCCACTTGTTGTCCACTGTCCTGTGCTGCCGGACAAATGTCAGTTAACTTGACTCTGCACAGCACTCAGAGCTGCTTTCTGCGAGCACAAACGCGTGCACAAACGCGTGCACAAACGCGTGCACAAACGCGTGCACAAACGTGTGCACAAACGCGCGCATGGCGCACAGGTGTGCCCTCACACTCACATTTCCATTCAGCTCAAACAGTAGCCCTGGGGGTGCAGACACCAACCTTCTTTCCTTCCTCCCCCCATTTCTGGGTGAAGCCACCAACTTCTCGACCACCCCTAAATCCCTCCTGCTGTAGCTTAGGCCTGCGGTCGTCCTCAGGGAAGAGCTGCTATGGCTTAGCATCCGCAGACTCCTCCGAAACCGCAGAACACCTCTCAGGTTCTATAATTCCCTTTCTAGGCCCTCCCCCTGCCGGAAGTGAAGGGGACCCTGTCCTGGGACTACAACAAAGTCCCCAGCGCTATCACTGAATTCATTTCGTGTATCAATGGTAAGGGATCAGTCCAGCCCTATCCATCTTCTAGATGAGAAAACTGAGACCCAAACTCACTCACCCACGGGAAGTGCCCCTGCAGTAGGACATGGAGCAGGCATCCGAGCCAGGCCCTCCGTCCCCTGCTGTCGCTGCCCGCCCCCCTCCTGAAGGGGCGTCCTCACTGCAGGACCCCTGCGGTCCGAGGCCCAGGACCTCAGAGGCTCTGCTCTGGGGGCTGATTTTCCTGGCAGAGGCTTCCTTTCAGGAACTCGGCAGGAAATCACATTAGCAACTCGGCCTGGAGGAGCTGAGACCCAGGGAGAGACAGAGAGGGAGGGGCCTGCAAAAGGGGTGGGTCTCTGAGCACCTGGCGCAGATCCCAAATCTGGAGACTCCAGGCGCACATCCAGCCTGGCTAGAGCTGGCCCGTATCACCCTTCATTAAGTGTCCACAGGCCCACCCTGTGAAGCCCCTGGGTGCTAACGACGTGTGGGAGCTCCGATCACAGGCCCAGGTGAGCGCAGTGCGCAGGGAGCCCCGACCCCACGCAGGCCATGCCAGAGAGGTTTGGTTTGGGGTGAGACGAGTCGTTTATTGAGCACCTACTGTATGCTGGGCACGGCGCCAGGAGCTTTAAAAATGCCACTGCTTTTCCTTCTCACAACTGCCCTCCGCGACTGTCCTTCTGTCCCTGTTTCTCCGGTTGAAGAGGCTGCATAATCGTCCCAAGCCACCCAGCCGGGACTGCTTGGTCTTAAAGTCCCTCCCTCCCTGTCCCCATTCCTGTGTCACCAAGGCGTGCCCTCGGGGATGTGCAGAGGCCCAGCCTCCCTGTGCCCAGCAGCGTGGGGAGGGGAGCAGGGTGTGTGCGAGTGTCATGCGAGGTGGGGGACAGTCTGGGCAGTGGGGGTGTCACTACAGTGGAAGGAGACAGTGTGTGTGGGGGTGCTGATATGGGGACTGGGCCAGTGGGGGTGGCGCTGGGGGTCAGTGCCCTCCTGGACGGCGGGGCCATGCGTGAGCCAGGCTCCTCGGTGGGGGGCTTGCTTCCTGGTGGCCATGGCTGTGGGCAGGGCTCCTCCTCAGCTGGCCTCTGGGCGTCCTCACACGTCCCATTTGACAGGCGGCTGGCACCAGCCCGTTATCTGCCATCCCCCTGGGCGCTAGTGCTTAATTAGGGCTCAGCCAGGGCTGAGAAACCACACTGGGCGCTTGGCTATCAGGAGACTCCTCCGCAGACGCAGACGCTCTGAGAGGAAACGGGGTCCTGGGAGTGGGGCGGGCCTGGCAAGGCTGGGCTGGCAAAGGGCATGCCGTGTTCATTAGTTAAATCAATGGATTACGCAGAGTGCTAGGCAGCTGGGGAAAGGGGTGGGTGACAGAGCCAGGCAGGGCAGGCCGGGGTGCGGGAGGTGTGGGTGGCAGCCCCCAATGCATCGGTGCCCATGGTGCCTGTGGTCTCCTCATCAACGGCCCCTCCCCAGGTGTGTGCTGCAACCTCCCATGACTTCGAGTGAATGACAGACAGGGGTGGCACCTCCCCAGGCCAGGGCACACCCTCAACCAGGGGACTGTAACTTTCAGCCCCTTTACAGACAGACCAGGAAGCTGGGACCTGCCCAGGGTCAGGGTCACACAGCACGTGTCGGAACAGAATTCAAACCCCAAAGCCCGTGTGGTTCCCATTGTCAAGCCAAAGAGGGGACTGATGAGAAGCCAGCACTCCCTAACCCTCCTCACCCAAAGCCCCTGGCAGAGAGGGAGAGACCCTGCCCCAAAGGGAGAGACCCTGTCCCAGAGAGAGACTCCTGTCCCAAAGGGAGAGACCCTGTCCCAAAGGGAGAGACCCTGTCCCAAAGAGAGAGACTCCTGTCCCAAAGGGAGAGACCCTGTCCCAAAGAGAGAGACTCCTGTCCCAAAGGGAGAGACCCTGTCCCAAAGAGAGAGACTCCTGTCCCAAAGGGAGAGACCCTGTCCCAAAGGGGAGAGACCCTGCCCCAAAGGGAGAGACCCTGTCCCAAAGAGAGAGACTCCTGTCCCAAAGGGAGAGACCCTGTCCCAAAAGGAGAGACTCCTGTCCCAAAGGGAGAGACCCTGTCCCAAAGGGAGAGACCCTGCCCCAAAGGGAGAGACCCTGCCCCAAAAGGAGAGACTCCTGTCCCAAAGGGAGAGACCCTGTCCCAAAAGGAGAGACTCCTGTCCCAAAGGGAGAGACCCTGTCCCAAAGGGAGAGACCCTGCCCCAAAGGGAGAGACCCTGCCCCAAAGGGAGAGACCCTGTCCCAAAAGGAGGAGGAGAGACAGGGTGGGGAGAAGAGAAGACTTGAGGTTTGAAGGTCATTGGGGGGGGGCTGCTGAGTGTCCCCCATCAGCCAACTAGAAGGAAGGGGCTTATTAAAGCAGGAGAGATCTGGGTGAACCATGAACTTCCAGTGACATTCAGGAGGCTCCAGTGCAGGCAGGGAGGCGGGGAGCCGCTGTGTCCAGCTTTGCTGGTGTCCACGAAGGGGACGGACACCTGCTCCTCTGGGGCGGGGGAGGGCTGTCTGTCCTAGGGCGGGAGGCCGGCACCTGACCTCCAGTTGGAGGTACATTGATACATCGTTTGCCTCAGGCTCGGCACACCCAGCAGGATGGTCAGAGCACAGGTGGGTGTGATGGGGCAGGGGCTGGAGACTTCTTGCCTTAGCCATGCAGCCCCCATGCCACCCCTATACCACCCCTCTCTGGGCATCCCCTGTGGTCCTAAGAGTTGCCCACCTGCCTCCCTGAGTATGAGCCCGGTTCCCAGCCCTCCCACCCCAGTGATTGGACTACTTGCCCGCCCCACCCCCACCCAAGCCCATCTCTGTAGGTTCTGAAAAGGAACAACAGAACCCACTATCCCAGTGATGTGAGGCCAGGCAGCCTGGGGGAGGGGCTAACCAAGCACTCAGGGCCGGTGAGGTGCTAGGTGGGGAGAGCTGTTCTTCCCCATGGATATTGCCTCACAGAGTCCTTGGGGTGTGTAAAGGAGCCGGGATTGCAAAGCCCGGGTTCCAAGCTCTGACTCACTCTGGTCACGCATGTAACCTTGTGTGAGTCCCTCCCCCTTGCTGGGCTTCAGTGTCTCCATCTGCAAGCTGAATGTGTTGCATTGGGTCAGAGTTTCTCATTCTCTCCCCATCAGAAGCCCCCCTCCCCCGGGGCAGAGTCTCAGGTCCTCCTTGGAGAATTTCATCTACTGGGTGTGGGTATAGCCCTAGGACCTGTATTTGAAGAAGTGCTCTGGGACCCGTATTTGAAGAAGATTCTTATTCCCAGGCAGATCAAGATAGGATGGAGGGTCTCTGAGGTCCCACCCAACTCAGATCCTTTAGGTGCAAGAATTTCCAGGACCGCCTGGACCAGCCCCTCTCTCTTCTGCACACCGGGAGACTGACACTCCTCAGACAGTTCGGGGCATCCTCCCGTCCGCCCTAGGCTTCCAGCTCCATGACCCCCACCTTCCTCGGCGCCCACTGAAGGGGTGGATGGAAATGTAGGGGGCAAGGGGGTGCAGGGCAGTAACACCAGGAAGATAGATATACCCGCGCACCTGCCAAATGTCAACCTTGAAAGACTATTCATTGCAGCACTGTTGGTAACAACCAAAGACTGAGAATAAAAATTGGGTAAATAAATGAGGGTCCATCTGCACAATGTGATTTTATGCAAATGTAAAAAAGAATGAAGCTGCTCTTTATGTACTAATACGAAACCATCGCCAAGATGGGTAATTATGTGGAAAAAGCAAGGTGTCGAACAGGGTGTGTAGTGTGCAGCATTTGGGTAAAGAGAGAAAAGAATATATGCACCTAATTACTGAATATGCAGAGAATGTAAGAAACTGTCAAAATGGTTGACTGTGGGGAGGGAGCCCGGCGGCTGGGTTGAGAGGGAGACATTCTGCATATGCCCGTCTGTACCTTTAAATTCTGTACTATGTGTAAGCAATATCTTCTCAAAAACATTTGTCTATTTAGAAGGCTCTCTAAGAGGGGTTTTTTGAATTGCACTGCCCCCACCCCACCCCCAATTCTGATATAGCCCCCTGGCTGGACCTGGGTATGTTGCTCAGGTGGGTGACCCAGAACATGGATGAGCACCTGTCCCGGTGAGCGCGAGGGGGGAGGGGGAGGAAGGAAGGAACGCGGCCCAGCTCATCGCTGCCAGCCTGCCCGTCACCCACGTGGCGCACCTTCCCTGTGCGTACGCGAGCCCGTGGCTCCGACCCGTCGGCCACCGGCCCTGCAGCAGGCTGACCTCGGGCCCACCCCCCCGGCAGCGTGGCAGCCTCACCTCCTCGCTGAGGATTTCCTGGCACTCCGAGTAGTTCACGCGGGCGGCCCAGCTGCCGTTGGCCAGGCACTGCCGGTAGCCGTTGTCTGGAAGAAGGGAGAGGCTGAGTGACCCTCGTTCCTCTCCCAAATAGCAACCTCGGCACGTCTGTCCACTTGTCTGTCCATCTATCCCTCCACCTGGGCCAGCGCAGGGGCCTGAGTGCGGGGTGAAGCTGGGGATGGGGCTGCCCTACTGTCCCATTTCCTGCCTCTTTCTGCCCACTGGTTCCAACAGGGCTTCAGTGTCCATGCCGATGCTTGACCGGGGGGCCACGGCTCTGCCCACTTGTGCTGGCACAGCTGTGCCCACGAGACTGGCCCTTGGGCGGTCTCGACCAGCTCACTGGCTGTTTCCTTGCACGCCCTTATTGGAGGCAGGTTGAGTGGTGGGTGCCCTTCCGAGGACTCTCCCGTTTGGGGGTCTCATGTGATAGGAAAGGATGGCGAGGTCTGATGAGTCAGTTCTCACTCCGAGTCTGGGCGTGAGGCGGTGGAAGGGCCTGTGGGGACAGCTCCCGTGGCCCAGTGAAAAGACAGGGTCTCACGTGGTGGCTCTGTGGCGAGGGTCTCGTGGGGGTCGCATGTGGCGGTGTTCCACATGGCGTGACCCACAGTGCCAGCGCTGGGGGAGGGCTCACGGCGGCATTTCCCCACAGCGGCTCCTGTGTTGGGGACATGCATGGTGGAGGTCTCTCGGGACACAAAATGACAAGTAGCAGGAGTGTGCTGGGGGACACTGGGGGTGCGGGGTCGCACGTAACAATATCTCATTATTGGGACCTCTGCCTGGCACTTGGCACCTGGAAATAAAGACAGAAGAGTGGCCCGAGGAGGGGTCTGTGCAGCCCCTGCTTGACTGCAGCCCAGAACCTTCACCTTCTGGGGAGGGGCAGGAGCCCTGTGGCCTGGCTTCAGGCTCTGGGAGGACTGGAGCTGCACAAAGGGTCCCCCTGGGTGTGTCACCAAAGCTCTGAAACCCAGCAGGGAAGGGACAAGGGAGAGCCCAACCTTGAGTCTTTCCTCCTTGGCTGGTGAAGGTCGTCCTGCCCCAGCCGGTACCCTGCGCGGCGGCTCTAGAGTTCTTTGACTTCGTTCTGGCCCCGACTGCAGGCAGAACAGGCTGGCCGAGAACTGAGTCCTGGGCCACGTCCACTGGGGCCTCTGTCCTGCTGCAGGCTTCCCGTGGTCCCACTGACCCTCCTGTCACAGGGGCAGGAGGAGGGCTGGGAACACTGCCTGAGCCCAGTCCTGAGCCCGGGGCGCACAGGGGCAGAGAGTGTGGGAGACAGAGGCGGGCCCAGGGCCAGCTCGGTGCTGCTATGCTGTGTGAGTGATGGGCCTAGGCTTCTGGGCCCCTCTCCTGTGCGCCAGGGACGGCTGGGCCAGCCGGGCCCCTGGGGGGCGTCCAGCCTGGGAGCTGTCTCCTCAATGGCAGCATGAGGATCCGAGGGAGATGGTGGAGTGGGCGGTGGGGAGACGCTGCTGCGTCCCTGGGACAGGGCTCCCAGCCCTCTGCTGGAGGCTGCTCCCGGTGCCGGAGGGGAAAGGGAGCTACTGGACTTGAAAGCTCCTCTCAGCTTCCTCCTAGTGGACCGGCGGCAGAGTCTAGCCCTTGGGCAGAGTTGGCTAAGATGCTGCTGATGCTCTCCTAGTTGCTAAATGAGAGATAAGGGGGCTGAGGGCTCAGTGACAAGGTTTTCAGGGAGGTCTGGGGGGAGGCAAGGACCAGGGGGTGCAGGGTCTCAGCTGTGGACCGGAGGAGCCTGAGACCAGCGGCTGCTCCAGAATGTCTGCAGAGAAAGGCACTCGGGCCAGTTCTTGCCTCACGAGAGGCGGAGCTAAGCCGTGTGGAGCCTGGCTCTCCACCCAGACAGCCTGGGTTCAAAAGCTGGCACCACCCCTCACCAGCCGTGTGACCTTGGGCAAGTCACGAAACCTCCCAGCTTCCGTATCTGCAAGAAGGCGAATGATCCTCACAAGGGCTCCTGCCTGCTGGTTGAGTGAGCGTTTTTACTTAACATATGCAGAGTGCTCGGAGCTCCACCTGGCATGTGGTGTGAGCTGTTATAGTTATTATTATTGTCTTGGAGCTGTATTTATAGAACCTTACATAAGATTCAGAACACATCCTTTGTCCCTATCAAAGGGGGCACTGGTGGGGATGACGAGAGCCACCCCCTTGACCCGAGCTCTCCTTTCACACTCCAAGTGTGGGGCTGGGAGCTGGAGTCCCTCCGGGGCCGGGCCATCCAGAGGGAGGAGGCCCTGGATGGTCGGGAGGCAGGAAGCGATCCTGCAAGGAAACAGGCCCGACGAGCAGGGAGTCGTTGCCAGGGAGGATGCGACCTCCTTGTCTTTGATTGCTGAGCTGAGCAGTCCTCCCAGAGAATCATGGGAAAATAGATATTTTTGGAAATGCTTCCCATCCCTTTGAAGATCAGATACAGCGGGAAGGAGGACATTGCAGAGAAGGCCAGGAAGTCCCAGCAGCTCCTCATCAGTAAATGAATTAATTAGTGCTTAATGATTAGGTGCAACTCTGCGTTTTCACTCACTGCTGATTGCACGGGCGTGTTCCTCATTGTTCGAGCATTGGGGGACCTGGAAAGGGGATCTGCCAGCCCTGCCCCCACATCTAGGGGGTATCACCCCCAGCTCCTCTCCTGGGGTTGCAGAGGGAAGAGAGAAGCCAAAGAGCACCAGTTGCAGATGGAGCTGGGCTGGAACCCAGGACTCCTGGCGTCCACTTCAGGCAGGGCTGGCAAATCAAGTAGCCATGCCCGGGCACTATGTTCTGAAATGTTCACCCTTTTGGACAAGGGTGGAGGGAGCTCATGGGGGTGGCCAGGGCTGGCTAGAATTAGGTGGGGCTGTAGCCACTTGCCAGCCCCACTCAGGAGTGTGGACTTGACCACGGAGGCATCGCGATGGGGAGCCATAGAAGGGACGATTCCAAGCAAGGGTGTGACAGGGTCAGATGCAAAACAAGGGTTAGAGATCTGGTGCCTTGGACAGGGACAGTGGCATTGGGATGGAGGGCAGGTAGGGCTAGACATGAGAAGCGCTTTGGAGGTGAAGGGCAGGACCTGGTGTCAGCGAGGGAGAGGCTCCTCCCTCCAAGCCCCCATCACATGCCAGCCCGGGGCTGCCCCCTCCCTGCAGGCAAGGGACTGGGAGTGGAGGAGCGGGAGGGCTCTGACCCCCAGAGTGGCCCTGCTTCCAAGCTCGTGTCCCTGGGCCCTTAACAGCCTCTGCCTCCATTTCCTAACTGTAAAACAGTCCTACTAACCGGGGGGCTGGCTGGCTGTGCACCCCAAGCTTTCCTCTTTGGTCCTCCTGCCCTTCCTCCTACATCCCTCCTAGTCTTTCTTCTTCTGTGGGTTTCCGACACATGAAGCTGCTAGTCTGGCTGTTCCAGCCTCTTGTCCAGGCCCAGTGCCTCCCCAGGGCCCTCTGACCCTTTCTTGGCTGCAGCCCCCAACCCGTAAGTCCAGCTGGTAAAGGAGGGAGGGGTAAGAGAAGGAACTTGGGAGCTTTGAGCTAAATGAACGTAGTCTTAGAAGCCATGTCATCCAGCCCCCTCCATCCTCAGACAGGGTCGGAGGGCCACAGACGGGGAAAATGTGCTTAAGGTCTAACAGCAGGTCTCGGAGTAAACCACCTGGTGTCTGTGGTGGTCACCCTTGGTACCCTCTTGGGGCACTGAGCTCAGGCCCACCAGGCCCCCAAGGGTCCACCGGGACCCCCACCTTCCCCTTGGACAGGTCAGGGACCCTGGCCTGCAGCTGTTGCTGTCTTGATAGGCAGGGGCTGTGAAGCATTGACAGGGGAGAGCAAATTAATTCTGAGGGTGACAGGTGACATAGCGAGGATCTGCAAAGCCTGCAGGTGGAGGCTCAGGGCCTCAGGGGAGCGAGGTGTTTACACGGGGATCAAATATCTGAACACTGGGTTGGTCCTCCCCAACCCCCGCCCTGCCTGTGGGCCTGCTTACAAGGCCAAGCCCCCTGGCTTCCAGGCCGCTTACCAGCCCCCTGGCTCCGGCTCCAGTCCTGGCTGGAGGCCTCAGACATCTCTGAGCTCAGGATTCTCATCCCAAAGTTGGGGCTTTTCTGATGGTTCCTGCCCTACCTAGTGGGGTTGTTGCCGGCTCAGGTCGACTTTGCCAGCTGCGGAAGAAAGTGTCAGACAGAACCACATACAAGTCCAGCTTCACCACTTACCAGCCTGTGACCTTGGGCCAATTCCCTAACCTCTCTGAGGCCTGGAGGCCTTAGTTACACAGTGAACACTAGAGTTATATACAGTGTCTTCCAGGGTACTGTGAGGATCGGCAGCATGAGCAGAGTGCCCAGGAGAACAGAGCTGGCCTTTGGTAAATCGTATCCGCGGGAGGTCTTGTCATCACTGTTATTGTCATGACTATTTCCCCACTTCCAACAAGTCCGCCCTCCACTCGCTCCCTTACTTGTGGTGTTGTAGCGGACACCGTAGAAATAGGCGGGACAGGGTCGAACCACCAGCTGCCCTGCGGGGCTCTGGGGCCAGCAGGTGCCAATGAGGTCCACGGATGCATTGCACTGCAGTCCTGGGGGCAGAGACAGCTGGTGAGTCAGAGCACGATCCCCACTCCAGTGTCCTCCCCACCTCCCCAAAGGCCCACACACACCCACTGGGGACAGGACAGGAGCGATGACCCTAGTGCAGAGAGAGCTCATCCGATGCAGGGGAAGACATCAGGCGAAGGGTTCTGAATTTGATGCTATGGCACTAGGGAGCCAGAGTGGATTCCAGAGCAAAGAGGAACAGAGATGGCAGAAGGTGGTATTAAAAGCTGAGGTCCTGGCTGGCATTTAGAGGAAAGCTGGGTATGCTTCAGGTCCCCAGCTCTGTAGCCCTGGACACTTCTCTCGGCACATCACTTGGTGCAGCCAGGGAGAGCTCTCAGACTCCACGGCATGGGAAAGACCCAGCCAACCTCTGGCCCAGGCCCCCTCACACATCTTTGGAACCAAACCATATTTGCTCCAGCCCTGCAGGGAGGAACCAGCTAAACGGAGTTGGTCCACCTTCCAGCCGGCCTGATGACCACGTTTACCGAACCTACAGTGTCTGTGCTCTGGTCTGCGCTGTGCTCTGAGAGAGGACTGACTGTGAAGGGGGCCAGGGGGAAAAGGGAGGGAGACACCATCCAGGGGAGTAGAAGGGCACTGAACCAGGAATCTGGAACCCTGGCTTCAGACTGGGCTGTGTTATTAATTTGCTGTGTGACCATAGGCAAGTCACTTGCCCTCTCTGGGCCTTAGTGTCTTTTTTTAAATCCTCACCTGAGGTCATTTTTGCATTTATCTTCAGACAGAGCAGGAGGGAGAGAGGGAGGGAGGGTGAGAGAGAGAGAGAAACATCAATGTGAGAGAGACACATCAACTGGCTGCCACCCATGCGACCCCCACTGGGAATGGGGACAAACTGCAACCGAGGTACCTGCCCTTAGCGAAAACCGAACCTGCGTCTCTCTGGTCCGCAGGCCAATGCTCTAACCGCTGAGCAAAACCGGCCAGGGCTGGGTGTTACAGTCTTTATAATAAAATGAAGTGGTTGACTCTGATGGGAAATTCTAAACCTCAGTTCATGTAAGCTTTAAGGGGTCACAGAGACTCTGAGGGTAAATGAAAACCTTGGTCTCTGTGCCTTGGACTTAGAAGAGGGACTTTGGCTTTCATGATTCTCAAAGGGGCCTGTGACTTTAAAAAGGATGTAAAAGCCAAATTAGAAAGTGGATGTCGCCTGGCAATGTGGCTCACTGGTTGAGCATCGACCCATGCACCAAGAGGTCGCGGGTTCGATTCCCGGTCAGGGCGCATGCCCAGGTTGTGGGCCCAGTCCCAGTGGGGAGCACGCCAGAGGTGGCCCATCGATGCTCTCTCTCATCGATATTTCTCTCTCTCTCTCTCAAAAAAAAAAATCAATAAAGAACAAAAAAGAAAGTGGATATCAAATTCCCCTTCCAAATATTTGCCCTTAATTAAGGAGCATTTGGAGCGGAGTGTCGGAGCAGAGTTGAAGACAGTAATACTTCTGGAGGGTGGAGGGGCTGGGCTGAGGGCAGCCCTGGCACCCCTCCTGAAGCTTACCCTTCTTCGTCTGCTTTTTGATGCCTCTCTCCTGCATAAGACTGGCACCGTGGTCTTATCGAGACCCAGTGTGCCCCGCACTACGGGAAGAGAATGCACGGAAGAGCCAGGGAGAGCCATGAACCATGTGGGGGCGGTCTCTTTAGATCTGGGCATCAGCAGCTGCCAGGCCCTGGCTGGGGCCCACCTGCCATCTCCTCCCCAGCGTAGTTGTCCCCAGCCTCTCAGGAAACAGCCCTGGGTTAGTCTGGCGTCCTTTCCCCGCTGGACACAGGGCAGCGCCAGCAGCACACCATGTGCTGACTTCCTTCTAATCAAAGCTATTCCTAGGGTGTTCATGAAAACCAGGGCTCGGGCAGAGGCCTTGAAGCCAAGTGGCTTAATCGAAAGAGAAAGAAATCTGGACTGGGGCTTAATGGCTGTGAAGAGAGGGCAGGCCAGGCGTCTGGGGCGAGCCAAGCCCTGGCGCGGTGCCGCCGCCAACACCCGTGAATTGCTGCACAGGGTGGAGGTGGGGTCAGGGGAGTGAGGAGAGCAGGCTGCGATTTCAGTCTGTCGTGGGCAAGATCACCGCCGAGCCTGGAAGAGAGGGTCGCTGGAGGCATGTGGCCATGGGAAGGGAGGGGTAATATTATGAACCATGTTCTGCTTTTTCCGAGCTTTTCTTCATATATTTTGTTTGAGCCCCATCCACCCTGCAATGCCATTATCCCCTTTTAACAGATGAGAAAACTGAGGCCCATGGAAGTGACTTGCCCAAGGTCGTGAGTCAATGAGTGAAAGAACCAAGACACATAGTCCTGTGTTTTTTACTCTAAACCCAGGGCTCTTTCTATTCCACCACATTTTGTGCCAATAAAGGGAGTGGGGGCAGCCAAAGAGGCAGTGGGAAGCAAGTAACGTTTACTGAGGGCTGACCGTGTGATGGGTACTTTACATATATCTAATTTAAAGATACCATCATACCTTCCTCAGTAGGTTGTCCGTTTATTCACTCATTCATTCCCAATACCTCCTGAGCTAGCTACTGGGAAGATGAAATGGTGGGCTCCTGTCCTGTGGGTCTGTGGGCTCTGCATTTGTGCATTCTCCATTCCTAGCACAGTGCCAGGCACACAGAAGGTCTGGAGGAAAATTAGGGGCCACGTGCAAACCTAGTACGGGTCTGGGAAGTTGCAGGGGAGACTCTGCACCCCAGGATGATTGACCATGCTGGGCCTGGGCACCATAGCTCTCTGGGCAGCCACACAACACAGTGGTGGTAAAGTCTAGAATCAGGCCCACTTGCTTCAAGCCTTAGAGTCTCCGGTTAGTAACTGTACGTGCTTGGGCAAGTTACTACACCTCTCTGAGCCCTAGGCTCCCCTTCTGTAAAATGAGGGTACACGTGCTTCCTGACTATACCGTTGTGAGGATGAAATGAGGTTAGAGCACTTAGAATGGTGTCTACACTTAGTGGGCACAAAATAAACATTCGCTCTCATTAATTATTATCATTCATGGCCTTCAGATGGGGGATGGGAACTGATAGTCTTAGGTTCTTGTCAAGAGTATGATTCCATTTGTCTCTGATGTCATTAGTCAATAATTCTATTACTTTCTGGCATTGTCATATTCATGACATGATTTTATGAGTTGCTATGTCTGCCACATGATGGCCTTGGGGACCCACCCTCTCCATGTTCCTGGCATGTGAGAAGCCCCCCAAAGGCCCTGGCTCAGTGCCAGCTGCCCGGCCAGACATCCATCCATCTGTCCCAGTCCCTCCACCCACCCTCACCATCTGTCTACCAGTGCCCATTGGTCTGAGTAGGTCTTGGCGTTGGAAGACAAATGGTGCATTATCAGAGGCCATTGTAGAGGGTGATGGATTGTGTGCCATGAAGCCAGGCAGGCTGGGCCAAGCTGGGGGTAATGGCACAGAGTACAAATCATCGGGGAATGAATGACATTCATCACGGCCTGTTGCCTCCAAGGACAGGTGATACCTGCAATGGCTCAGGGAGGTCCCTCACTCCTGAACACAAGCAAATTAATGGAGCCTGACCTGGCCCCAGCGCATGGGCGGCTGCGGCAGGGCCTTTCATGCTGGGCTCAGCCTCTGAGCAAGGTGCTCCTTCCCCGTGTCTCTCCGTTAGCACTCTAGACTCTTGCTCAAGAACTTGCCTGTTCCCAGTCACCTAGCTTAGCCAACTTTGCAGCCAGGAGCTCCCAGCTCCCAGCACCCCTCCAGACTTACTGCTCTTCCTTCCGTACTCCTCCCCGAACTTCCACCAAAGCCACCTGCTTGTCCTCAGTCAACTCTGGCTTTGGCTCAGAGCATGGGGTCTTCTCAGCCAGTCTATGCTCGGAGTCTCTCAGAGACTCACCTTGAAACCTCCTCCTTCAGGAAGCCTTCCTGGAGCCATAGAGTCCTGATGTAACGCCCCTGCCACCTGCACTGCGGTGAGCACTGCTCTCCCCTCAGCCCAGCTGCACGCTAAGCACTTAAAAGCCCACGGATGTCACCAACAATAAGAAAACACTCGGTAGCGGCGTGGCGCTCCAGTTTGCGGGATATCACCGTAAAACTCAGTGCGTGTAATCAAAATGGATCCTGGAGGCAGATGTCATCCTCCCTAACTTCACCCCTGAGCAAAGTGGGGCTCACAGGCATGCCCATCCCTGTGCTCCACCCCCAGCCAGGACAAGACCGAGCAGCACTGCGGGCTTGGAGACCAATCAACCGTCTCCGGGTCCAGTGCCCATTCCCTTCCCCAGCCCAGGCCCTCCTGCGAAGACAGCAGGCCAGGGCAGTGGCTCTGAGCTGTGGAAGCCTCCTCTCGCCACGGGCCCAGCTTCAGAAGCGGAGGCCTGGCCTTCCTGCTAGCACCCTGGGTCTGCTTCTCCTCCAGCACACGCCTGGTGCTCTGCCTCATCGTACATGTGCCGGTGGACTGGACTCCTGGGTCAGACTGTACTCCCCCAGTGCCTTGCTTAGGGCCTGGCGCCCAGTAGGTGCTCAATTAATGAGTTGGATTGAATTGAGGAGAGACCTGAAGAGGAAAATAAATCACCAAAGACCGAGCCTCTTAAGACCAGGTACAAGGGCCCTCCCTCCTGGCTAGCAGGAGCATCCCCAGGACCCTGATTAAAGGGGCCATGGTGAGGGCTCAGGGGTCACCCCCGAAGTTAAAAGGGCACAGCCTTGACATGGCAAAGCCAAAGACCTAAATTTCCCACATAATTCTCCTGTGCCTTAGTTCCCTCATCTGTACAAATGGATCTTGAACTCTCCTGAACGTGAAATAAGACCATTATTCAAAAGCCCTTTGTAAACAAAGGAAGTGATACAAGTATCAGTCACATTTGCAGCCAGGCAGCATCTTCACTGAGGCGGGGTCGAGCTTGATACTGAAGACGTACCTGGAAGCCAGGCTGCCCGGGCTCAAATCCTGGCTCCAGGACTCACTAGCTTTGCTCTGTGCTCCGTGTCCCTATGTGTAAAATGAGGGTGCAGCACCCACCTCAGAAGTCATTGTGAAAACCGGGTTCACACATCTCAGGTACCTCTGACAGCACCTGGCAGCCAGCTCCCTCCGCTAGAACAGCAGCCTTTCTCCACCTGACGCCGGAGCAGCTCAGCCCCGGCTCTGGTGACTGTCGCAGCAGCAAGGGCTGGGGTGGCTTCCCCTGTTGCCCACCCCAAAACAGGGCAGGTAACTACTCAGCACACTTGCCACATGCCCCCCTTGTGCCCATGGCAGGCCTTTTACCTGTGCACAGCTCTTTCCCACCACAATTCCAGGGTCCTCAACACCGCCTCTGTCCACGGAGAGGAACTGCTTCGACCCTGGAGAGGGCTCTGCGGTCCCTGCCTCAGGGCGTGGCTCTGTGTGAGAATCCTGACACCTCGTGGGGGTGTGGTGACCTGGACCCTTGCAGGAGCAGAGCAGGGTACTCACCAGAGATGTTGTTGGCTGGGGACTGGCTGTCACAGTGCTGGTTCTGGAGGAAGGCAGAGATGGGGTTCAGCCCCAGGAGGAGAAGGGCCTGTGGGCACAGGGGGCGAGGGACACGGTTAGCCTGCCATGAGCAGTCTGGCCTGCAGCTTCTTGCTTCCCTCCCTTCCCCTCTTCCCTGTCTCTGCCCAGACCCCCACCGCCACCTTCAACCTCCCCTCCGCCCCTGCCCTGTCCCTCGCTCTTGAGAGGCCTGGAGAGGGGGCTAGAAGAGCAGGGGCCCAGATTCTCGGGACAGGCGAATTTTCTCCCTGAGGACTGGGGGCCCCCAATGAGAAGAAAGACCCCCAAATAAACGATCTGTCTAAGGAAGGTGCCTCCATCTACATGGGATCCCAAGCATGGCCCAGCGGTGTCCCAGCACCCTGAGTACTGACCCTCCCTCCCTCCCACCTTCCTTCCCTCGCACCCTCCCTGCCAAGGAGGCTGCTTGGCCCTCAGCCCAGCCCAGCTAATGAGCGAGCCCCACCACGCTTGCGCCTCCCCCTTCATCAGGCCTTTTCACAGCCGCGATGGCATTTACTTCTCCCTGGGGCTGGTGGGGCTGCCCCTTTTAGCAGATGAGAAAATTAGGGCCCGGAGAGGTGAGGAATAAATGTGTCTGGAAAGACAGCTGCCCAGTTCCAGGGAGAACCTCTACCCTTGCATTCCCCAGGGGGCCGTGCCTCTGACTCCAGTTCAGCCCACTGGAGAGGAGTGAGGCCCCACACCCGCAGGGCTGCCCCTGCTGCAGCAACCCCCTCAATCACCCGTCTCCTTCCTTGAGGTCACCTCCCTGGATTTAGAGTCATAGAGACCTGGCGCCCGACCCGTTTCACTGTGTTGTCATGGACAGGGTGCTTGACTGCTCTCTGCCTCAGTTTCCTCTCCGGTTTTTATTGAAGTCATGAGGTGTCAGGCCCTGTGATTTTCACAGGGAAAATGAGACTTGGGGAGAGGTAGGAGCTTGTGTGAGTCCTGCCTGAGCACAGGGCTAGTGTGAAGAGCCTGGGCAGGGTCTGGCTGCACACAGGCCTCACCCTAGTCCCAGCCCTGCCCTGCTCAGGTGCCTTCTGCCCAAGCTGGACCCTACCATCCCCCGTCCACCGGCCCCAAGGCTGTACGTCCTCCCCTTCCTCCAGACTCCTCCCCACTCACCCCTCTGGACCTCAGGACCTTCCCCGTCCTTAGATGCAAACCGATGTGCCCTCTTCCAGAGGCGAACTTTCTACTCTCACCTGTCTCAAATGTCCTCTCCTACCTGTCCCCCTCTGCCCTCCCCAGGGCCACCCACTTTTCCTGGCACCTGCTCCTTCCCACACAGGCAGGCTCTGCTCCCCTCTCTCCTCTCCTGCATTGCCAGGTGGAATCCAGTGCTCCCCACTCTGGTCAGAGCCTGTCCTGCCCCCACCTCCTTCAGGAAGCCCCCCTTGACCCTGACAATTCGTGTACATTGTCCCCTCGGTGCCCTGCCTGAGTCCTTTGTGGACTTGTTGATTATCCACTCTCTGACACACTCCTTCTGTCACATCATGGGTCTCCCCGCTGCCTGGGCCAAGCTCCCGAGCACACCCCACCCCTGCACCCCACTCTGTGCCCAGTACTCCGGAAGCTCAGCAGATGGCGCTGGGGTTAGCCTTCTCGCTCCTCAACAAACCCATTCAACTCTCTGGCCCCACAGAGCTTCCAACTCTTTACTAATCAGTAATTAAACTTCGCAGTCACCAGAGAGAAGGCGAAATATATTTACCCTCATTTTCCAAATGAAAACGCAGAAGCGGAGAGAAGAGGAGGCCACTAAGCCAGCCTGTGGCTCTTGCTAGCAAAGCAGAGAGCAAATCCCCGCGGACAAACCTGCACTGCTCAGCTCAGCAGTTAGCAGGGACCTCGCTCTGCCCTGTCCCCAGAGAGGAGCTGCTCAGCTGCGATGGCCAGAGGCTCCTTCTAGAAGGAGACTAGGACTCCCTGCCCCCAGCTTGTCGCCCCACCCCGCCTCTGCCACCTCCTAACACACGCACACACGCACAGAGGATGGAAGTGGGGCACCAAGAGCCAGCTCAGTCACAGGCAAATGAAAGAAACTGGAAACGCCCTGTTCCAAAATGTCAGTCGTGCTGCCTACCCTCCCACCACTAGCCTTCTGATCACGCTTCAGTCTTCAGACCCCCGTTGGAGGCACACCACCTTCTGTTCCCGTTGCCTTGTTTATCAGGACGTGGATCCGGCTGGTGTCTGCGCACCTGTGCTCTGAGGTGCTTTGCCCCGCCTCACCCTGGCCCGCCCTGCACCTGGTGAACAATGCAGGCCTCAGAAGCCAGTTCCATTGCCCTTCCCCTTGACCCTCCAAAGCAGAGCGATTCAGTCACCCCATCAATGTGCCCACGTCCCTTCTGTACATGCGTTGGACCCTGGTGCTCATGACACCAGCAAACAGAGACCCGAAACTAGTCCGAGATGCATGAAACAGCCTCAGTACTATGCACTTACACCCCAGGGTTCTAATTAGACGGCAAATACCCCAGCCACAATGCCTTCGCCTCACATCTTAACATCCTGGGGTTCATTGAGGAAAAGAGCAACCCAGATTCATCAAGAAACCAAACCAAATGCCACGGAGCAGAGGGCCAGCCTGTCCCTGACCCTCATGTCTCCTTGGATATGATGGTTCACAAAGTCATTTTCGACCAAGAGAGGGCTGGCTTTGCATTATGCAAAGAAAAAGGCTTCTTAAAATTCCTGAACCAACCTTTCCTCTCGGGAAAGGTCAGCTCTGGGCAGAATCTGTGTCTGTGCCGCCTCTTGCTCTGCGGAAGCTTTGAAAGGCTCTGGCTTATCCCTGAATCACTCCCGTGCAAACCCTGGCGTTTTCCTGGGCATCTCCTCCCACCGCACGTTCATCTCCTTTTCAACATCAACTGCAATTTTCAATCTCCATCAAGAGGCAATTACAGCACTGTGGGGGAACGCCCCGAAGTTTCAAGGATGCTGTCTGTCTCCTTCCAAAGCTGAGCTTTCTTACTGGAGGTGGGGGGTGGGGTGGGGGTGGGGTGGGGGTGGGGATGGCACGAAACCCTGTAGTAAATGCACAAGTTGTGTGTAATGACAGCCACTTTCCTGCGGACGGCGCACAGCATCATCCTCCACTTCTCTCTTTTTTTTCTTTTTTTTTCTTATCCTCACCCGAGGACATTTTCCCATTTTTTTGTTCAGGTAGAGTGGGAAGGAGAGAGAGGAACAGAGAGAGAGAGAGAGGGAAACATCGATGTGAAAGGAACACATCGAGTGGCTGCCACCCGCACGACCGACCAGGGCCGGGGACAAACTGCAACCGAGGTACGTGCCCTTAGTGGGAACCGAACCCGGGTCTCTCCGGACCGCAGGTCGACGCTCTAACCGCTGAGCCAAACCGGCCAGGGCCATCCTCCACTTCTCAAAGAGGCCTACCGCCCCCAAAATATGGCCGGAGCATATGGCAAGTGGGGTCCCATCAAGGCCTGGGCCTCACCAAACCGGACCCTTCAGCCTCTCTGACAGCAAACCAGGTTTGACCTGGGACTGCCACCTTCTTGGATCCCTCCACCTGCTCCTCCCCTCCAACATCAGTCCTTTCAGAACACTTTCCGACAAACCAAGTCTTCGGGACTTTGTCAGGTTTCCCGGGTCCCAGCAATGGCATCGGGGACCTGAAGCTGGTGCAGGGCTGGGCTCACTCACTGGGTAATGCCTCCCTCTGCATGCCGGCCTGGCAGCCCCAGGCCCAGAATAAAGCCTTCACCAAGGGGCACTGCAGAGGGCGCATGGGGTACGTCTCATGCTCCCCGTTTTATAGGGTTTATAGTTGAATTGCTCAAGGTCATGGAACTGTTTTTAGCTGCTGAGTGAGGACTAGCGTCCAGTAAGCAGGCAATCCAGGCTTGAAAGATGGAGAAGGGGGATGGCCCAGGTCGAGACAGGACATGGGAAGAAGGGGTGGGCAGAGGTGGGTGCGGGAGCCCACCCAGAAGGTGAGGTGGGAGGGCCACCGTCTGTCAGCGCCTGCTCCAGCTGCTGCCCTTGCTCCCACCCCTAGGCCGGCGCAGAGCGTGGCTGGAATTGAAGCTGCCATCCCAAATCCCTGTGTGACTTTGGCGTAAAGGTTAATCACATCCAGAAAATGCTTATTAGAGACCATAAATAACTACATTGCTGAAGCTCAGTTTGGTCTTTAAGGCACAAAGTGCAATTTCCCTTGATGGGATGATTTGCTAATTAACCTTTCAGGGAGGGTTCTGAAGGGAAAAGAGGGGTGGCCCGGAGGCACGGGAGTTGGGGGGTAGGGGGCTTCCCCCACCTCCTGGAAGTTCACGAGGAGCCAGGAGAAGGGGGCCTGCTCTCCCCTCCCCTTCACAACTGCTCCGATGCTCAGTTTAGGAGAACCCGGGGCCCCGGGAAAACCTCTGGGGCCAGGGAAGGAGCTGGTCCTCCGAGCCGCAGCTGCAAGATTTGAGAGTAATTCCTCAGCGAGATTCCTGCCCCTTGGCCAGTTCTGAGTCCAGTGCTGCCACTGACCGTGACTTCGGGGGAGTTAACTGGCCCTTCTGGGCAATGAGGTCTTTCTCCCCTGTATCACAGGGACAGGGGACACTGGCGGGAAAACGGGAGTAACATGCTTTCTGAAATTTAAGTCCCCTATAAGTGTCCATGTGGTGGTTACAGCTTGGTCACTGTGGGCCTCAGAATCGTCCTCAGTTACGGAGGTTCGAAGCACAGCAGGCTTCCCACAGGTGGGGGAGGGGCTGCAGGCTGCACCCAGCCCTCCCCATCCCCCATCCAGTGACTGTTCTGCCTTCTCTGTAAGCTTTCCAGAGTCCAGTGGGAAGGAATTTTTTTTTTTTTCCAGCTTAAAAGGAAAGTTGTTTTGTTTTTTAAACCATTCGATTTAGTGATTTCAATCAAGACTCTTGCTAGACTGGGATTCTACATTCAAGGAGCAATATTTACTCTTAGCGACTTTCAAATATGGAACACAGTATTGTCAACTGCAGTCACTGTGGTGTACAGACCTCCCCCAAA